AATTACTATTATTAATACAAATTTTGTTTGAAAAAAATTGTTTCCAAATACATATTGTGATCAAAATGTCAAAAAAATGAAATAAAGAATTTTAAATTAACTGGTGCAGGAGAAAATTTATAATATAATAAAATGTTATATGTTGTTAAACAGTAGTATTATTGATATTTTTCTTAAATATGTCTTTGAGATATATGTACTGTACAGTACAGTACATACATTGAGAATTTAAATATACACTATGATGAAAATATAAACTGAACTATCTATAATTGGATATCAGAAAATTATAACAAGTTTTATTATTTTGCTTTCTTTTAAAATGACTATGATTTAATTTATTACTTTGTAAATTTTGTTATTAATTATTAAAATTAATTATTAATTGGATGATTTTGAACTTTAAATTGTTTGTCATTATCTATAAATTTTTATAGTTTATTTTTCTTTGCACCATTTTTTCTTTTAATAGATACAAAATATATTACTTTAATAAAGCCACAATATAAAAAACATATAAAAGCTTATATGTAGTTTTTCAAACTTTTATAATTTTAATACATAGCATACATGCTTCTTTCTTCTATAAAAGAAATTATAATAAAAGAAAAATTGTAATTGATAAGAATTAAATTAAAATTTCTAATATGAAGAAGAAAAATCTGCTGCAATCATAAATTAAAGATCAGATAAAATGACATCAAATTGGTCTGTACATTCAATAATCAAGTTATTGAAATTTGATCATATACTAATATATACATATATTTCTTAATTAGAAAAATTATTTTCTATAAAACTTTATATTTTAATTTACACTGTTTTGTATTTTCTTATTAATTAGAAATCCATTTTTAATTATTCTTAGTCAACAATATCAACAATAAAACAATTAAATATTTAATTATTTTGTTTGGCAAAATGTTTAATTTGAAAGACCAAATAATCAATAAAACTGTATTTAATTCAGAATCAATTGAAATCTTTCTTTTAACAGTAAATATTGATTCAAGAAAACAATTATGTAATTTGTTTTAAATAAGTTTTTTGTGTTTCTTCTAATAATTCCTTTTATCCTTTGTTTATATTTTGAATTATTTTAAACATTCAGTAACATCTATGTGTTAGTTCACTATACAAATTATATAATAGACGTTTTTTTTTACTAATAAAAAATTTAAATTTAGTTAATCTTGATTTTTAGATCTTATTGTTTTTTACGAAGAATATTTATTAATAAACTTATTTACTAGTAAATGAAGCATAATTAATTTGAAGTTCTTTGTTCTTTCTCATTTTAATAATTATGTTAGACATTCTGCTAGCAGCTTGGTTCTGAATTTACTTTATGACAAAACTAAACTTTTAAATAGTACATTATTTTTAATATAATGTTTTTATAATTAATAATAATTGTTTTATTCATTCCTATCTTTTGTAACCTGTAACATATACAGTATTTACAATAAAAATTATAATTCAAAATTTTTAGTGAACATGTCTATACAATGTAATATGTCATATTAACAAAACTGCACTTAATGCTTATCACATAAATTGGAAATTCGTAATTATTTTATATAATCTGAATTAAAAATAAAATATATATTTTATAGTTAATTTATTATAAGTAAAATATTAGGCCAAGATAATATTTCATTTATTGTATGTATATATGTTGCACAATTAAATTGTTTTATTATTGTTATTGTGTTGGGTTTAGTGGGTAATACTCGGTTTAAACCGGTGGCTGTTTGTTATTATTATTATTATTATTATTGCAATTTTTAAGAAATATACTTTTATTAAAATATAGTTAAACAAATATAATTATTTGATATACAGTAGAGCATCGATTATCTGACTCAATTGGGGACTCAGGTTGGTCGGATAACCGAAAAAAATGAAAAAAATACATTATTAGTATAGTATATTAGTATATCCATGTAATTAGTTTATTAGTATATCACTATTAACCAACTTCGCATTGAATTTTCATCGATGTTTAGCCTAGCAAATTTTTTTTTAAAATAATAATCGTCGCTATCATATCGTTAAAAATTATTTTTAAATTATTTTATTGCTCACAAAACAAACGACCACTCATAATTAGAAAATTAAGTCTCGTTTAAATACTGGCTGCCTTTTAATGGTCGAGCTGTGTTGCCAGCTAAAACACGCAAAAATTTAACAAAAATAATATTAAAGTAGCCAAGACATAGCCAAATATTGTAGTGCCACATCACTAGCGGACATTTGAAATTTGCCAACTAGAACGGTCGGTTAAGCGATGTGACAGTTAATCAGGCATCGGATAATTGATGCTTTTTTGTATATATAAAGGGTGACCAACTGTGGCTCATGAGCTGCATGTGACTCTTCTAGACCCTTTCTATGGCTCCATATATTTTAATAATTATAATTAAATATACAGAAATATATATCCATTATATAAAATACAGTTTCAATAAAGAATATGACTCATATTTCTGATAGATGATGTATGCTTTCTGTCATGACAAGGTTTGGCCAGCTCTGGTATATATAGTAGCCAATTGAACTTGCATAAATTTAATATTTTGCAATTGTTGAAAAATAATAATAAAAGAATTTAGCATTGAATTTGTTTTTTGTTTAATTGTTTTATTAAATTTTTAATTTAAATGCATTATTATAGAAAGACTAATTAATATAGGATTACTAATTAAATAGTAGGAGTTTGTGAAGAAAATATTTTTGTAATAGATGAGTGATGTATATGAAATCTATAATAGAAGAATATTAAACTTTAAATCTGCAATAGCAACAAATCATTATTCTTTTCTAATTTGCATTTAAAAAAATAATTCAAAAATATATATTGAATGCTATATTTGCATTCAGTTTAAAGAATTGAAAACTAACATTATTTGAATTTGTCCAATAATTCAAAATGTTATCTAATAGAAAAAGCTTATAAATCAAAAATTTTAAATTAAATCATTAATATTGAAAATGTATAGAAAAGATTTTAATTATGATGGATTTCTGGATTTCTTAGAAAATTTTATAAGAGAATTCTTGCATTTTTAGTCAAATCCTGACTAAACATGATTAAAAGTATGTTGGACTCTAAAAATATCTGGAAAAGTGTACGGAATATTTTTTGAACAATGCATGAATTGTTCAATCAATTAAACTATTAAAGATAAAATTTATTTTAAAAATTAATCTGCTATCAACATAAACTTTTTAATATTTGCTCTAATTTAATGTAATTAATGTTATGTACTGTACAGTTTAATATTGTACATAATTAATGTATAATTTTTGATTGGTACGTTTTATATTTAGTTTTGATTTTAATTTCATTTGTCTTTAAAAAAGGGTCCTATTTTAGTTTTTATTAAACATCATTAAGGAATAATTTCTTTTCAGTTTTTCATATTAAGCATTAAAACAGAGTTTGCATAATTGCTTAGAAAATATATAATTCAAGAATTCTTTTGACAACATAATCCTTTGTATTTAATCTTAGAAAATTGAATTATCTTGGAAAACTGTTATTTTTTGCATATAATAGTATTGATTTATAGTTGTAAGATGTATTCATAGTATTAAAAAAAGAAACACTGAAAGACCAGTTCTTGACTAGACATGCTTCAAGAGATAGTAATTATGCAAAAAATATTCAGACTTTTTTTAAAATAGGTATATATATTTTATCACTATCATTAAAACCAAATGACTTATAAACATATGGCTCATATGTAAATTGATCTAATAGTTTACAATCAATTCTCTTCCAACGTACTTATCATTTTTTCACTGAATTTTTGTTTAATACCCATTTGTTTAATTTTTCTTAAAATTTAAAACGTTTGTTACTTATTATTGTTGAGTTCATAAACTCAATAATAGTTAACTAATCAAAAAACTGATTATATTAATTAATTCTACAAATTAATTAGCAGTCTTTGCAATTAATTTTAAAGATATTTTTAAAATATTTTATAGTAATATTTCATGGAATTTAATATTGTTTTGCAATTAATTTATTGTAGTCAATTTATTGATTTTTATGATGAAATTAACTTACTCTAATTGATGTAAGATTCAAAAGAAAAGAATTAATCTCAATAAAATAAGTTGTCTACGATGATGTAGTTAAAGTAGAAATATGATAGTCAATGATAAATCATCACATTAATTTGACATGCCAGAATTTGATTGACAGATATGAAGCATGTTTAGCTAGAATGCAGTGTTGTTTTTATTTTGTTGGAAAATGATTTAACAAAACACATTTGTATGTTTAGTGGATATTAATGCGTTTACTCTATATTTAAATTTTCTATTTTTGATAATCTGCTTAAGATATGTTTTGAAATTGCATCAATATGCCTTAACAAAATGTTTGCATAAGTTTATATTATTATACATTAAAAATATGAAGAATGTTTTATTTAAATAATATATAATTATTATGTATCTGATTTTAGATTTGTTATGGTTATAAAATAAATAATATAACACATCATCTTAGTAAATTTAATAAGAAAATTTATAAATTAAATAATTTGAAAATTGAAACATATTTAGAATTTTTGATCAATTGATAAATTTATACCATTGACAATTCAAGCTACTAAAAGCTGTCAATGCAGTGTTTGAGATGTTTATACCTTTAAGTTCTTAGGCTTGAATGATAGTAAATCAATTGATAGATTTTTATTTGATAACAAGTTTTTAAAAATTCTCGGAATCATCTATATTGAATCTTGGAAAACTAATTTTCCAGGAATAAAATGTTTACTTATGTAAATAATTGGAAAATTAATTCTCAGAATACAAAATATTAATCTCAAAGGTATTCTAAAGAGAAATGAAGAATAAATATCATTTGTCTTTTGAACTTAGTAATTAAACACATCTTAAATTAATTTATATTGAATTTTATATATTATTTCACTAATTTATGTTAAAACATTTATAAATTAAATTATATAATTTTTCTTTAGGGGATATAATATTGGATTACGATTGATTGAAGATTATTTGGCCAGAACAACTGTTGGAAAATGCTATGATTTTAGAGATACAGCTGACAAAATTCAGGTAATTATTGATATATAAGTATTTTAAAAATATATATTAAACATTAATGTCTTAGTTATTATTTGGCTATTATTTCATCATACAGTTTTAAGTTTCTTAGATTTAAATTTTTGCAGAAATTATTTTCATTAATATTTTAGTATTATTTAATATGAAATATATATTAACAAGAAATATTGATTTTCTATTTAGCATTTTTAACCAAAATGTTATTATTTACTAAATTAAATAATTTAAGTGGAATTTAAATAATAAAATAGATGTAAAGATGCTGTTTTTATTGTTATTAATATCAAAAATAAGTTAATGTTATTAGAAATAGATTTTTATGATTATAAATTATATTTTGGATGAGTTAATAATTTTTAAGAGAATTATTAAATAAATTGATTTTTTTACGTTAAGAAATTTAAATAATTGTTGGTTTAATGGAACATTCTAACTATTTGAAAATTACATTTAATAATAATGCAAATATTGTTATTTATTGCTTGTTTGAATAATAAGGATAAACTCTGATACAGGGACAAAATATTTAGTACATAAATAAATTTACAATCAAAGAATGCATTACAATAAAGTAAAATAACTAATACATTTAAATCAACTTTATACTTTAAGTGTCTATCTATTCTTTAGTAACATACATAAAAAAGTTATTTAAACAATACATTTGAAAATGTGATGTATCAAGTATTTAATGCAAATATTATAAAAAAATCCTTCAGGAATTTATCCATATTTAATAAAAAATGTTAGTCTGTTTTTATACATATGAGATGTTTGTATATACTATATATATATTATTAAATAGGATATATTTAATAAAAATAAATTTGTAGAATTAATGTTAATAAATGCAAAAAGATAACAGCATCTAAACAAATTTCCATCTCATAATGTAAAACATATAAGAGGATATATGAGGCAAGAGTCATTCCAAAGTGTCTCTTATTCACTTTCACTTAATTTTCAGTATTCAATAAAGTTGTAAACTTGACAAAGCTAACATTGGTTTATAAAGCTATTTAGGCACTGAAAACATTTTCTTTTATTATTGTTTAANTAAAATTTAAAACGTTTGTTACTTATTATTGTTGAGTTCATAAACTCAATAATAGTTAACTAATCAAAAAACTGATTATATTAATTAATTCTACAAATTAATTAGCAGTCTTTGCAATTAATTTTAAAGATATTTTTAAAATATTTTATAGTAATATTTCATGGAATTTAATATTGTTTTGCAATTAATTTATTGTAGTCAATTTATTGATTTTTATGATGAAATTAACTTACTCTAATTGATGTAAGATTCAAAAGAAAAGAATTAATCTCAATAAAATAAGTTGTCTACGATGATGTAGTTAAAGTAGAAATATGATAGTCAATGATAAATCATCACATTAATTTGACATGCCAGAATTTGATTGACAGATATGAAGCATGTTTAGCTAGAATGCAGTGTTGTTTTTATTTTGTTGGAAAATGATTTAACAAAACACATTTGTATGTTTAGTGGATATTAATGCGTTTACTCTATATTTAAATTTTCTATTTTTGATAATCTGCTTAAGATATGTTTTGAAATTGCATCAATATGCCTTAACAAAATGTTTGCATAAGTTTATATTATTATACATTAAAAATATGAAGAATGTTTTATTTAAATAATATATAATTATTATGTATCTGATTTTAGATTTGTTATGGTTATAAAATAAATAATATAACACATCATCTTAGTAAATTTAATAAGAAAATTTATAAATTAAATAATTTGAAAATTGAAACATATTTAGAATTTTTGATCAATTGATAAATTTATACCATTGACAATTCAAGCTACTAAAAGCTGTCAATGCAGTGTTTGAGATGTTTATACCTTTAAGTTCTTAGGCTTGAATGATAGTAAATCAATTGATAGATTTTTATTTGATAACAAGTTTTTAAAAATTCTCGGAATCATCTATATTGAATCTTGGAAAACTAATTTTCCAGGAATAAAATGTTTACTTATGTAAATAATTGGAAAATTAATTCTCAGAATACAAAATATTAATCTCAAAGGTATTCTAAAGAGAAATGAAGAATAAATATCATTTGTCTTTTGAACTTAGTAATTAAACACATCTTAAATTAATTTATATTGAATTTTATATATTATTTCACTAATTTATGTTAAAACATTTATAAATTAAATTATATAATTTTTCTTTAGGGGATATAATATTGGATTACGATTGATTGAAGATTATTTGGCCAGAACAACTGTTGGAAAATGCTATGATTTTAGAGATACAGCTGACAAAATTCAGGTAATTATTGATATATAAGTATTTTAAAAATATATATTAAACATTAATGTCTTAGTTATTATTTGGCTATTATTTCATCATACAGTTTTAAGTTTCTTAGATTTAAATTTTTGCAGAAATTATTTTCATTAATATTTTAGTATTATTTAATATGAAATATATATTAACAAGAAATATTGATTTTCTATTTAGCATTTTTAACCAAAATGTTATTATTTACTAAATTAAATAATTTAAGTGGAATTTAAATAATAAAATAGATGTAAAGATGCTGTTTTTATTGTTATTAATATCAAAAATAAGTTAATGTTATTAGAAATAGATTTTTATGATTATAAATTATATTTTGGATGAGTTAATAATTTTTAAGAGAATTATTAAATAAATTGATTTTTTTACGTTAAGAAATTTAAATAATTGTTGGTTTAATGGAACATTCTAACTATTTGAAAATTACATTTAATAATAATGCAAATATTGTTATTTATTGCTTGTTTGAATAATAAGGATAAACTCTGATACAGGGACAAAATATTTAGTACATAAATAAATTTACAATCAAAGAATGCATTACAATAAAGTAAAATAACTAATACATTTAAATCAACTTTATACTTTAAGTGTCTATCTATTCTTTAGTAACATACATAAAAAAGTTATTTAAACAATACATTTGAAAATGTGATGTATCAAGTATTTAATGCAAATATTATAAAAAAATCCTTCAGGAATTTATCCATATTTAATAAAAAATGTTAGTCTGTTTTTATACATATGAGATGTTTGTATATACTATATATATATTATTAAATAGGATATATTTAATAAAAATAAATTTGTAGAATTAATGTTAATAAATGCAAAAAGATAACAGCATCTAAACAAATTTCCATCTCATAATGTAAAACATATAAGAGGATATATGAGGCAAGAGTCATTCCAAAGTGTCTCTTATTCACTTTCACTTAATTTTCAGTATTCAATAAAGTTGTAAACTTGACAAAGCTAACATTGGTTTATAAAGCTATTTAGGCACTGAAAACATTTTCTTTTATTATTGTTTAATTGAAAACTTTTAAAGTTTCATCTTGAATGACTATGAATTGACACACAATAAATCTGCACTTATTCAGTTTATAAAATAACATAGAATCCTATAAGCGTGTTTTTCAATTATAAAAATATTTTATTATGATAGTTCTTTACACTAGTTATTAGAGAATCCAAAACTTTTAAAAAGTGGATAAGATGCTGTTTAGAATGACATGCCTCATAAAATAGATTATTAGATTTTCTAAAGAAAGATAGTTTAGATATAAACAATTCTTAAAATGATATGATCTAATATCTTAGGCTTGTACAGTACATATATGCTTTCGATAAAGAGTATTACATACAATACATTTTATATACAGTGACACACATTTATCTAAATTACAATGTAGTTTCTTACAAATCAAAAATTTTTGTATAAATAACATTTAAAATAACACTTTTTATACTGAAATAAACTTTTGTTGTTTTAGAGAAATTGTTTGGAGAGATTCAGATGATAAGAAAATCATGTATTGTAAAAATTATAGTTGATTATTCTTACTAAAATTTGGGAAAAAAAGGTGAAAAAGATTAAAGATAAGATGTATGATAATGTTAATTACAGAGTAATATAACATTCAGGAAATGATGTGGAGTGAATAATTGAGAAGATTATAATCATGGAAGATTATTAAATTTTTAAGTTAGAAGCAAATATAGCCTTTCCAAGTCACAAATTACCAATTACACTGTAAATTGATTTTTAATTTGAAATAATTTAATAAATTTTATGAATAGTTGTAAGATTTTAGAATGAAGTCAATTAACATCAAATTTTTTAATGTTTTTTACATGTCAAAAGCCAACATTATGACAGTGAAATTACTAGCGAAATATTTATCTATGACAAGCTTATGCTTTAATTAATATATATGACTAGCATTTATTTCCAATAGAAAAACAGAAAATTAACCAAGCAGTAACTAACTAATAATTTTTAAGTATTTGTTATGTTTAAAAACATTCTTTTATAAAGAATTAGAAATGAAAAAGATGCAATTATGATAATTAAATTTATTAACTTTTGAAAGGAAGTGATAGTAAAATTATTTAATTCTCTTCTCTCAGAGAGAAAAGCACTAAATTGTTAGTTAAAACTTTCTTACAGATAAAAAAATTTTGAAAATTTGTATGGAAATAACATATAAAGTTTTTATAATTTAAAATATGATACAAAAAATTTCCATTATTTTGCAAATGATAAGTTAACAAAAAAGGAAATGAAAAAAGACAATAGTGGTATGCATCATTTAATTTTAAAGGACATACAATTTTATCAAATTTCTGAAATTTAAAACAGTAATAAACGTATCTAATTTCAAGGAAGCTTCAAATAAAACACATGAAACAATAACAATATAGAAATATAATTTTTTTTTTATATTCTTAAACTATATTGTCAATGTTTATTGAGAAGAATTTAAGAAATAATAAAATTGTAGATGTTATAATATATATATATAGTTATTTTTTTAGAAGAAAGAATTAAAAGTATATATATTATATTTTATACAAGGACAAATATTAAGATTGTCTGATAAATACATAACTTATAAAAAATGTAATGTAAATTACATTAAATAATGCAAATTATAGAATATTCATTTTAATAAAAGTATATTTATACATTTGTACAAATGAATTCAATATTAATTAAAGAAAATTTCACTTATAATAATTGCAAAAGTAAAATAAATACAGAACAGTTAGTATGTTAATCTTTTTTAGATATTCATTAATCTAAGTATTGTATTGTATTTCAGCATGTAGTAGAATCATTAATTTTTTCTGTTATGTTATTTTTTGACTTAATTTATCATTTTTTTAATTAGGCTACTCATTTTGTTTAAATCTTAATTTTTTTCTAGATTTATTCAATTTAATGTGAAAGAAACAAATGAATGATTTAAATGAAGAAGTGTTAAAATATATAATAAAATTTTTATGAAATTTTATTATATATTTTAACACTTCTTCATTTGAATCATTCATTTCAATCATATTTTAACACTTCTTCATTATGAATTATTTCTTATAATACTTTTATAGATTAGAATTTTCAAGCTATGTATTTTAAAATATTTCAGTTAGGAAAAAATGTATGCTAATTAAGTAAAAATTATATGTACAAATTTTTTTTTAGATGGCCTTTAAGATGTATCTTGGTATAACACCAGCCATTACTAATTGGGGACCTGCTGGAGATGAATTCTCTCTCATTATTGACAACAATCCTCTGACAGAATTTGTTGAATTACCAGAGAAGCATGGAAATTTAAAATATTCCAATATTCTGGTTGGTGTGATTAGAGGAGCTCTAGAAATGGTTCAGATGGAAGTGGCAGCATGGTTCGTGCAAGATACCCTCAAGGGAGATAATGTCACGGAACTGAGGATCAAATTTGTACGTCGATTAGAAGATGCCATTCCAGCAGGTGAAGATTAATTGTATATAAGTTGACACCGTGATACATTGTATATGTTGTATGTATCTAGCTGATTAAATATTATATATAATCATCAATTGATGTATTTGATTTATCAAAGTGATTTATCCTCTTATTTATGGTTTAAATATGATTTATATTTTGATATTTTACACATGAAATATATGTTGTATATTTATCAGATTACTGAATAAGTTTCAGTATTCAATAAAGTTGTAAACTTGACAAAGCTAACATTGGTTTATAAAGCTATTTAGGCACTGAAAACATTTTCTTTTATTATTGTTTAATTGAAAACTTTTAAAGTTTCATCTTGAATGACTATGAATTGACACACAATAAATCTGCACTTATTCAGTTTATAAAATAACATAGAATCCTATAAGCGTGTTTTTCAATTATAAAAATATTTTATTATGATAGTTCTTTACACTAGTTATTAGAGAATCCAAAACTTTTAAAAAGTGGATAAGATGCTGTTTAGAATGACATGCCTCATAAAATAGATTATTAGATTTTCTAAAGAAAGATAGTTTAGATATAAACAATTCTTAAAATGATATGATCTAATATCTTAGGCTTGTACAGTACATATATGCTTTCGATAAAGAGTATTACATACAATACATTTTATATACAGTGACACACATTTATCTAAATTACAATGTAGTTTCTTACAAATCAAAAATTTTTGTATAAATAACATTTAAAATAACACTTTTTATACTGAAATAAACTTTTGTTGTTTTAGAGAAATTGTTTGGAGAGATTCAGATGATAAGAAAATCATGTATTGTAAAAATTATAGTTGATTATTCTTACTAAAATTTGGGAAAAAAAGGTGAAAAAGATTAAAGATAAGATGTATGATAATGTTAATTACAGAGTAATATAACATTCAGGAAATGATGTGGAGTGAATAATTGAGAAGATTATAATCATGGAAGATTATTAAATTTTTAAGTTAGAAGCAAATATAGCCTTTCCAAGTCACAAATTACCAATTACACTGTAAATTGATTTTTAATTTGAAATAATTTAATAAATTTTATGAATAGTTGTAAGATTTTAGAATGAAGTCAATTAACATCAAATTTTTTAATGTTTTTTACATGTCAAAAGCCAACATTATGACAGTGAAATTACTAGCGAAATATNGGTTACCATTATAAGTGGCAATAAATAAAATAAAACATTTATTTATTGCCATTGAATTGTCTTTTGAAAAATATTGATTTACCAGTTAAATTTGATTTTGTAACTGTTTAGTTCTCATTACTGTGGATAACATTCCATAAAAGTTCCGTCTACAGGAATAAAAGTTTTGTACATGTCTAGCTTTATATTAAAATAGAACAAATGAAAAAATTTTCAAGGCCACTGAATGTGATGAATTACCTTTCATATTTATCCAGATAAGATCAATTGCTACTTGGAAAGTTAATATTAATAAAAGAAAACATTTAAAAGCAGGATAATTATTGGTGATTTTTATCTATATAATATTATTTAATTGTAATATTTTAGTTGTTTTGTTCAGTTTTGTTGTTTGACATCATAATTATATAAGAAGAAAAGATAATTATATAGTATTTACGTAAAATATTATTTATCAGATACAACAGTATGTACTAAATATAAATTTATTATTAACTTGGTAACTAAATCAGATAATTCTTTCTTAAAATCCTTTCAAAGCTCTTTGCTTCTATTTTCATTTGGGATTTGTTTCTACTGGATGCATTCTGTTTGCTGTCTGTTTGTATGCATACAGTTTGCTTTCACTAATTAACCATTCTAAAATGTTTGTTTTGTCATTATTGACTTCTGCTTGTTTAACTTTTCTGTTTTCTTGATTTCTTTTATTCTCTTTTTATTGTATTATTATTTAATTAGTTCATCACATCTAAATTTTTAACTTTTAATTAAAAGTATTTTTAATCCCTTTAGGATTATATTTAATTAAAATATATCAAAATGAAAAATTAAAATTATTTTGTATTGTTAAATAAAAAAAAATAAGAACTTTTTAACAATAAATTATTAAAGTATTAATAATTTATCATTACAGTACATTTCAACTTGATGTTTCTTTTAAATTAATTAGTAATAATCTTTATAGCTAAATAATAGTCTAGAATATTATAAATTGACTATTTTATTAAGAAAAGTTTGCTATAATTTTCAGTTTTTTAGGCGATATTCATTAAATACAGTAGTTTTTCATGTATGATTGTTAGAAGAATTGCTTTGATACAAATACACTCATATTTTTATTGTAAGTTTTTAATATTTAACAAGTTTTAATTATGTGGAATTTGTAAAACTTCTAAGAAAAATATTTTTTAACTCTGTTCTGCGAATATTAAGACAGCTTCTCTTTAAAAAAAAAAAATAACATAAACTTTGCATGTGGCATGGTTTAGGTCATTTGCAGAAATGAGTTTAATTGTTTAATGTCAACTTAAACTAGGCTTTTAGAAAATTGTATCATATAAATAAGGTTTCTGGTTAATTTTATATAAAAAGAAAAATTATTTAGACTTAATTCAATTCTATTTTAAACTAAAATTTGTAAAATATAGATAGAATTATACTGTTTAGATTGTTTTTGATTTCTGGAATATTAATACGATTTAAAAAAGAACAGTTAAATAGATCACAATTTATTTTTATGTAGATAATGTACTTCCATATAAAGATGTATATGTATTTAATGATCATATTGAAATATAATGATAGGAATACTTAATGTTATTCATCATTCATTTGAAAACTTGATTCTTTATTCGTTTATAAAAAAGAAAAATAAAGTGTATAATCAAAAACTTTTTCAAGTAACAAGATGATCATTGTTTAATACTCTAAACAAGTATTAGAATGAATTCTATATTATAATAATAAATCTCTTTTTCTTTTTAATGATTGATATCAATTTTTAGCTAGATTCAGTTTATTAATTCTAAATTTTTAAATTGCATAAATTTGATATTTAAAATTTCATTAAGTAAATAGTTATTTACTAAGTAATAAATTTAGTCTTTTTAATTCTGCATTTGTTGAAAAAACTTTTAGATAAAAATAATTTGCATTAATAATCAAAATAATAATAATTTCAAAATATTTTATCAGATAATTCTAGAAATTGTCATTAACAAAACAAAAATCTATAAACTTCACAGTGATAATGTAATCAAACTAGACAAATTACAGAAGTAAAAATAACTCAAATTTTTCTTATCTGTCAAGTCATAAATTGAAAATTACAGTTTTTTTATATCAAAATTTGAAATCTGTCTTTATTTTTACAAATTGACAAGTAATGTTATTAAACTAATTTAATCTGTAAATGGAAGATGTTATTTTCCATAACCAGGATTAAGTGGTTTTCAATTAAAAGTAATCTCGTAAGTCACCTAAAGACATATTTGCTGGATCATTGCTTCCATCAAAACAATTATTATCGCATATTAAATCTAACGGCACGAAATAAAAACACAGAAAAAGTTTTTCCTTCAATAAACTACTGTTTAAGAAATCCATAAAATTTTTCTTATCCTCTTGGGTACATTACCAAGTTAATGATTGTCTTTATAATTACCTGTCATTATATTATATCCTCAACATTCCAATCCGTGTAGTCATAAATTATTTTTATAACCAATCTCATTATCTCGATTCTCACCAGAAAATTTTGATAAGCCTCTTATCAGTAACAATGTTTTACACTGAACAGTTTTCTAACTTTTTTACCTCTCTCTCACTCTATCTTTTTATTTTAATACTTTGCTTTTCTAACTAAGTCTTCTCTCTTAACTTTAGGGATAATGGGGAATAAATTAGTTTGCAAGTTTAATGAGAATAAGGGTTTATTAATGCTTAGATAATAAATCATAATTACTGCTAAATTTTTTTATGTAATTAGTTTTTGTTTGTTTAATAGGCTTTCTATATAATTCTAATTGGTTTAATAATTTGCAAAGTAATTTTTTTTTTGGCTGTAGTAAGGAGGCAATCGGAAAGAAATACAATGTTTCTGATATAAAGACATTTTTAATATTGATGTATAGGTATGATTACCATTTTCTGTAGTTTTACTGAATAGAATATAAAATTTTGAATAAATTGATCTCTTGTAAACAAAGTTTTCTTTATAAATATGCATAGTTTGTGCCATTTTATATTAAAAATGGAATGTATTAAAGGTAAAAGGTTTAATAAATAATCCCAGTGCACATCCTCCTCATATAACTCTAAATACCTGACTACAATAAAAGAATACCTTGGCTCTTCATTGCAAACAGTTTTTTAATCTTATAAGCTTTAGTGTACTTAAAGCTTACTGAAATTTTAATCTTTAATTACAGGGCCATTAGCAGATTTATAATTTCATTCAACTTCATTAATTTTACCTTACCCATTTATTTCAAAATATATACTAGCAAAGTTTAATTTATGCATTTTATCTATTAGACAAAACTTTTCTTTTAATAATGTTTTGCAGGAACAAGCTATATATCATCTTTGATATTTTTTTACTGCAAAATTAACAAGTGTTTATCAAAACTAAATAACTTTCCTGATGATAAGTTGAACTGTAATGCCAACATATAATCAAATTTTCTATTAAGGCAATATCTAATTGATCTTATTTCTCCAAATTATGAGTATTATAAAGTGTTTAGTGATTTTTAAATGATTATATTTAATAATGATTAAGGTATATGTAACAATGCAAATAGTCATGTTCATCTTGGATCTTTTCCATAGTTTTCTTTCTGAAATTGATATTCTGATTAATTAGCAATAAATAAATGATAATTATACTGTCGGGTTTTATAAGATTCAGATAATATCTTAAAAATTTAGAGCAAATGCCAACATTTCTAAATAAGTGTTTACCAAGGTAAAAATCTCAAAAATTAGATTCTTTGTACTATAAATTTGGTTAAGTACTGTTTTTCACTAACAATTCAAAAGAGCTTAAATTTTGAAATTGTTTTTATCATTTCTTTGTCAATATCTCATGAATCAGTTTACAAGATACATACTTTAACAAATATCTGACTAATAGTACCAATAGACATAATCTAAACAATGAATAACGCTATAAAACTCTTAATTTTTAAACTTAATATGCTTGCAAACTAGATGTAAATGTAGAGAAGATTTTCAC